TGTACAAGCAGTAACAGGCTGCAGAGACGAAAACAGTTGTAGCATTGGAAGAGCAAGTCCAACTCCAGTTCAGTGCAGGAATCAAAATAAACATGGTTGTCCATCTTCTGCTAGAACACAGCCAGTGAATGGAAACCTACTTTCTACTGTCAAACTCCTGAAAAAAACATTAAATTGGAATCTACCTTCCTGTAATTACTCGATAGTTTGCACTATGGGGTGTTAGAAAGTTTGTGAAAGTTTCTTGAAGAATGCTTTATCTCCCCTTCTCAAGGCTAAACTTATATACTCAGTTTCTTTCAGTCTCTCTTTCCAACATCTCTCATAGTACTGGTTGACCTTTTTTCTATATATATTCCAGCTTCTCTGAATCCTTCTTAAAGTGTGGTGCAAGAACTGAACATAGTATTCCAGACAGGCAATTGCAGAACCCAGAGGAATTATTTTTTCCCTGCATTTTGCACTGTGCTCCTCTTATTGCTATCTAAAATTCGATTTGCCTTTTTTAGCAGCCATATCAGACTGCTGAATCATATTTAACTTGTGATCAGCTCCAATTCCAAGATCTGTTTTATTCATATAAAGCCAGATATTCTTCATCCTATACTTTGGCATTTGATTTTTTTTCCTTAAAGAGAATAACTTTGTTTTCTATTAAAGTTCATTGTGTTGATTTTATTAGCCCACTTGTCTAAGCTATCAAGAACCTTTTGAATTTTGTTTCTGCTTTCTAGAATATTAGTTACCCATCTTGTTTTTGTTTTATCTACAAATTTGAACAGCATTTCCTTCTATTCTTCTTCCATGTCATTAATGAAAATGCTGAAGATGAAACCTTATGCACTGTACTTGAAATGTGTTTGATGAGGAACTATCGATAAGATCTTTTGGAATAGAGTTTTCAAGCTAACTTTGGCACCAAAACAGACATAATCACTGTGCAGCACTTCAGAAGTAATTAGAAAAGATGCTTTTGGAGCATACAGAAACACAAAATATCATCTGTCTGCTTAAGAATTGCATGGTACATTTCTGCTGCTGTGAACTCTAAAGCATTGTTTTGGAATTGAAGTTGAAGCATTGCACAATTCTAATAAACATGTCATCTAGCTTATACTTCATTAGTTTAGTAATCATGAGGTCCTCTCACATGAAATCAAGATATATTTTATCTACACCATGTCTTAGTCTAATCAAGGACAAAAATAAATGATATGACCAATTAGTCTGTCAAGAATTCTGAATGAGCCCATAGTAATTTATAGTAATTTTATCATCTGCTCTAGGATTTTTATCATCTGCTGTAGAATTTTTTCAGATATCCAGGTCAGATGTTTTAAAGTCATTTTCCTGGTCCTTCTTTCTTCCTTTTTTATAGTTAAAAACCACATTTGCCATCCTCCTTTCATCTAATACTTCATCTGTTCTCCAGGATTTCTCAGATATAATAAATAGAAGTTCATCTAGACCATCCATGATTATCAGGTTCTAGGTAGGCTCCTGTTTCTTTTTGCTTTTCCCAATTTACCCAGTGGAGTGTATAGCTTCTTACTGAGCACTGAAATCAACATAGTTCTGCCTTTCCTTTTCTTCTATCTTGACTGGGCAAATGCCATACTCTTTCATTTATTTATCTTTTAGTTTGGATATAAAGACCCACTAGCCCAAGGAAAAAAAAACAGTCATCTACAACATACAGTGTAAAGACTGTAACAACCACTATGTAGGACAGACAGGCAGAAGGCTAGCAGAGCACAACCATGAACACCAGCTAGCAGTCCGAAGACACAATGAAAACTCCTTAATCTCACAACACATGGACAGATTTAACCATAGTTTCAACTGGGAAACTGTTAGCATCTTAGACCAAGCTAAATAAAAAATGCGAGGGAATTCCTGGAAGCTTGGTATTTAGACAAGGTGGCCATCAACAGGCACACAGAGATAAACAACATCTACACACTCAAAAAGAGACAAACATCTACACATTCAAAAGAGACAATAAAAAGGAAACAAAAGGCCAGAACATCTCCTCACCCAGAGCAATCATCACCCAGATAAGCAGAGGTTAACACCAAGATTATCACCAGACATGTAATCAAGCAGTAAACAATACCCTAATCAAGGAACTGGGGGTGGGGGGAGGAACCACACACAGGCAGGGCAAGCTAGTGTATATAAACAGAGAGCAAACTCCACTCCATTCTAGCACTGAAGATGTTACCTAGCCGAGTAATGAAACATTTGCAAGAAAACAACCAAGCTCAGAGAACTGCAAGGACTCCACAGTTGCTACAGATATTCTCTTCTGTTGGTTTGGTTATATGTAAGAAGCTATCTTTGTTGTTCTTAGCTCATGCTTAGCTTTAGAATTTCTTATCATTTCTTCATCTCTATACATCTGGATTGCTTTTACTTACTCTTCCTTGGTCACCTGCCCCTCTTTCCAACTACTCCATGGGTCCTTTGTGACTTTCGGGTTTTCAGGTTGTCATTAAACCTTTTGGGCAGCCACACTGGTTTCTTTTGATGTTCTTTACTTGCCCCCATTGGGTTGGCTTTCGGTATCTCCTCTTTAAGAAAATCTGATTTTGCTTTGCCTTCGTGACTTATTTGCTGACTTCTGCGTTGAAGGTCAGACACATGGCTTCCCTCTCATGAGTGCAATGCCTTGGAAACCTTTGGTATTTAAAAGCTCAACCAGGACTAACATGTTAATAACTAAATGGACTGCTGCAAAATTAGCAAGCCATTTCTCCAGCTGAAAATAAACAACCACAATCAAAAATATGTGTCAATTTATGTGTGTGTGTGTATGTGTGTATATATGTATATAACTGCCACCTATACTACATTTTTAACTCGTTTATTCAGTTAGCTATAGCTATTTTATGAAACCATTGCCTTACCGTTTTGTAATGAATTATTTTAGGTTAATGCTGGCTGTGCGGTGTTCTTTTATAAATCTCTATGCTTGTAATATAATGGATGGTATAAAGATAAAATGAAATACAATTCAAACAAAATTAAGAATATTTAAATCTTTTCAGAACTAAAAAGAGGGCTAAAATGAATTACGCGAAAATGGATACTCTGCTGGCAGGGTTTTACCTTTTTGAGCTATAGGTATTTCCACCTGCTCTCTTTTCATCATCTCCTTAGTAATGCCCTCAGCAAGCAGGATCTTGTAAACATGTCTTCTGCAGGCTTATTCTTTGATAGATTTTAGGGCAGTTAACAATTCTATTCCCCTTGCCTTAACAAGTGGCTCCCGAATCAATCCCAGCGGACTTTCTCATTTTAGCATTATTGCTCCATCTCTTGTTACTGATATATCCTAAAGCTAGGATCTAAAGAGGGAATAATGAAAGTAAATCAAATGTGATTTCATTGTCAATTTCTTACAAAGGGAACAGGCATCTTTTCAGGAGTTTTTAGCTTCAATTGACTGTTCAAAGGAAACTGCTTAGTTCTTTAAGTAGATGATGGGTATAGTTTCATCAAGTAACTGATTGGTGATATGATTCAGCCACATGAATGTATTATTCCACTGATTGAAATATGTTATTCTGCCTTTTAACTATAGAAGCCAGGATAATTAATTGTAATTTTGAAATTGGCTTGTTTTAAATAAGCCATCATTATCATTACCAGGTGGGATCATACATAATGTAAAGCAAAAAATTTGGTTGGCCAGCCATAATGGTTGGATTCATGCATTGCGCTAAGCCAGCAACAAGGAACCCACATCGTATTTTAGCATGCTGCATGAATCCAGCTAATAATAATTATAGATAGTTGAAGTGGAAGCAGATGTTTCCATTTTCCTCCTGTTGGGCTAGCAAAGGTTCATTAATGTAGTGCTAACATATGCTTTAGCATTCTGTAGGAATATTGCCAATGTTCTAGTTCACATATAGTGGTAAACATGGCAAAGAAAGCATGGATCTGGAGTTCTGTCCAACTCCTTCCCGTGTCTATACGATCAGAAGGGAGAAGACTTAGAATAGAACAGGTAACAATATTCTGAGCCACTCCCATAGCAAAAATCATGCAATACAAAGCTCCTGAAAAGTTTTTTATCCCCCTTACTAGCAGTGACCCTGATTAGGCCCTCTAGGATGTATCTGTGTCTTCTTCTGTGTACCTACTGTAGATACTGTGTCCCTCCTTCTGTCCAAGGACAAATTAGGGTGTGTGCATATAAGGGGCCTGTGACTGCATGTGTGTGTATGTTTAAGGGGTCAGGATGTGGTACCTCTGTATGTGGTACCTCTGTAGGTATGTAAAACCCCAAATGGTAGGGGTATGTACAACCCTAAGTGGCAGAATTGGGAGAGACCGCAGGTTGGCACATGGAGGATGTTGGAGTGCCCTGTTCCTGCCCAGGTTTGGGGTGGCATTGGGACCACCCTCTACCAGAACCCCTGCAGACATGAATGCTAGGCTGCTAGCTTAGACACTGCACCACACAGCTGGTGTGAAGGCTCTACTGCTGCATGAGCCTGGAAGAGTGGCTATTTAAATCAAGCAGTCACAGTCTCCCAGGTGCTAGAAGCAACTTTGCTACCCAACTCTACCTTGTACTCCTGAACTAAATTGACTACAGGTTGCCCCAGACAACTTCTGCTCAGCTCTTGTTGTAGAGAAGACTGCTTTCCATCCACCATTCCTTCCAAGTTCCTGGCCATGCTTCATATCTCCCCCTGTCTCTTGCTGTCTGTGTGGGCAGCTCTGTGTGGAAGCACACACATGATGCTGTCCTAACTCCTGCTTTTCACAGTGCATAAGGGCTCATACCCACTCTTGTACATTTATCCCTGGGCATTTTGGCACCTCCTGCAGTTCCCTATTGCTGGACCATAAAAGTGTGTGTGTGAGTATGCATGAGAGAGGGCCTAATCAAGGGGTTGCATTTGTGCTGCATCTGCAAATGTGTCTGCCTCTCCTCTCTTTTGTTGTATCTGTGTATGCGCATGGAAAGAACAGGGTAGGCTCCATATAGTTTACTCTGGATTAAATAATCCAGATAATTAGAATAAAACAATCAGCAACTTTCTGAGCCACTGCCTAACTCCTTCTGTAGGGATGCATTGGAAGGTGGTGGTGGTGGTGGTGGTGG